ATTGAAGTTCTATTGATAGCTTAGCTAAATTAAATAAAGTTCTGTTTTTACCCTTCACTCAGCTTACTCGTTGAGTAGATTAGCTTCCTCTGCACGTACTAGTGTACGTGAAGTTTTGTGGCACCCCAAACAAAGGGTGTAGCGACATGAGAGGGTGTTAAACAGTTAAAGTTACGGCTGGTGACTTAGAATGATGGAAAGCGCCAGCAAGAAAATGGGAGTCGTCTAACAGAATGAAAGGAATCGTCTAACAGAATGAAAGGAATCGTCTAACAGAATGATGCAAATCGAATTGAGTTAGTGAAGCTGTAAGCGTAAACGAAAATACAAAATCCATTTGTCACAGTGCTACAGACTTTCTCCAAGCATCTACCAACACCGGTATTGACGAACACGTAATTTCTTACGTGTCACTGAGAGATGCAAGTTAGCGAGCTTACGAATAACGAATCGGTATTGAGGATTAACGATAACTGAGTTGTCGGCCAAAAGTAAGAGCTGGTGGCCGTTTCATACGAGACGTCCACTGCTATGTTCGTGGCTACACAAAGCAGCACTTTTGCATGGGAGGGTTTTTTATAGGTTAGAGATGTATGAACCAGAATGTGTGCTTCATGTGCCAGCTTGCACTACCGTCATGCTGACAAGAAGTCTTATGACGTACTTTGCTTGATCTCTTCAGCCAGGTGGATACGACATGCGATCAGGCTGAGCAAGATTGCTCTCAGTGGATGATAACCTGATGATATTAAGTGCACTACTACATAAACTGCTGCGAACCACGTTATCCTTTGCCGAGTTTGGACCGGAGTTACAGAAGACCAAAGGATACTTGAAAGCGTGATGACGTGACCAGTCTGAATTCAGTTCTGCTGATTACTGCGGCACGGACTTACTGCAAGGTCCTTCATGTTGTGAATTTCCTGCTGACTGTGTCTGGTACTTAACTGAGTGCGACAGCGATTTTCGGAGGACGGCGCTGCTTCAGTCGCTACTATAACCGAAATAAAAGTCTGCACCACAAAGCACTGAGTACCGGCAACGTATCTGCACCGAAGGTGATACGCAGTGAAGCACAGCAATTCGACATCGAGATTGTAGCAAAGGTCGAAACGGGCGTCCAGGGAATTGCGGCGGAAACAGTATGCCAGGTGTGTCATGACATTATTTGCATTAATTAAAGACGCATTGACATCAAAATTATCAATTAAGCGAAAATTGATTGCATTTCATAGGGACTTAACGTCTGCACACGTGATCCTCTCTCTCCACGCAAACAGTCTTTGTAACGGATTTACACGTAGTTGGGTACTTGGTACCCTGTCTTAGACACACGGATGATATCCCACTGAAAGAAACATAGAATATCTTATCGGTTTATAGGGGCTGACTGGTGTCAGCCACCAGATAGGAGAGATCTTAGTTGTACTAAGATCTGGACATGAGTGTCTAGATTAGGATTCAGATATTCTATAGGTTTAAATGCAGATAAAATCCAGTTCCCTTTTGATCTTAAAGACACGTGCCTTGCGAGGCGTCTTTGGCCGTTGATCACTGATCACTAAGAGTTGGCAACACCTCCTTGAGGTAGCTAGTTACGCTTGAGCACTAAGTGCTGTGGATTCACTGAATCGTTTGGTCCCCTGGAACAAGGACCATAAGTTTTACGCTTGTTGACTCATTGAGTCTAGTTCTTTAGAACTAAGTTGCTCGTTGAGCGGTAAGTCCTCCTCTGACTTAAGGAGCTGTGCAGCTCCGCTTTAGTCTGGATCTAGATGCCTCATAGTGATCATTAAATCCAAAGCTTTTCGCACTTCTGCTTCTTGCTTAAGTAACCTTACGCTGGATTCACAATTCTTCATTGTAGAGGAATTTGTTGATCATCTGGATCGAAAGGACCGGTTGATCCTTTGGAACCATTTGAACAGAGTTGAAGAGGCGTACAAACTATTTATCAAACGGTTAAGCGCGTCCTGCGTCCGGGATCTCAAACGTGCTGAGCTGGCGATTTGCCGCAGCGTTGAAGGCCGCTTTACCGCTCCAATTGAGAGCCATAACCCATGCTTGATTGTCCACCCAGTTGCACATGATATCAGTGTCACCAGCTTAAATCAACACTCTCACGCCCGCATCCAGCAGGAATTTGACTCCACTAGCAGAAGACTTCAATTATTCGAACCAGAAGCGTGTATTGACCGTAGCATCGCACTCCTGCCACGGTTTCGTCTTGCGAACATTGACGCCTAGCTCTTCCAACACACAAGGGGAGTTCAAGCACTCTTCAATGTCCTAAAAATTAAAACACGTCATTACAGTTTCTGCCACGCACGGTTTCGAATATCGTACGGATTCCGTCCAGACCGATAGTACGGGCTTTCCAACGCCACAAAACAAAAATACATAGCATCAGTATAACGGGGTAGCCCGTTCCATGATATTGACACCAAACAGGGTCAACAGGGAGATTGTCTAGCGTGACAATATACTACCAGTATATCTGAGATGGGTAATATTGAAGGAAAATTATCCCCTTTTATGATAATATTCATGCGCTGCTCCAAGATTGGTTGATACAAGACACATCAACCATAGATTGCCGCCAACCGCTGCTAGATGCGCGCAATGAGTGGTGAGCAGTTTGTCGTCATACGACGGTGTAGTTCATTATCGTTAGATTAGGATTAAAGTTCTATTGATAGCTTAGCTATATTAAATAAAGTTCTCTTTTTACCCTTTACTCAGCTTAATCGTTGAGTGATTTTCTTCCTCTGCACGTACTAGTGTACGTGAAGTTTCGTGGCACTCAAACAAAGGGTGCCCCATTACACCTGGTAGCACTTTGTAGTCCGTCCAACGACTACTTAATTTTCGTTTTTACATGAACATGCTGGACAAAGAAGACTACAGCTTTCACATCTCACGTGAAGACTACTCCCATCTGAGTGACTCCGAATGGAAGGTAGTCGGCCGCAAGAGTGTGCTCATGGGCAAAACTGCCATCATGGCCTGTTGTAGTCTATTAGCAGATATCAGCAACGTGCTGCTATCAACAAGTTTCTACAAGAGAAATATGGAGAAGCGCGAAGGAATAACGACGGTAGTGTGGATCGTGCGATTCGCCTTAAGTACGAAATCAGTTTGATTGGTGGAGCGCGTACGGAGATGGACCCGTTGGCACGGATGAAGGTGTCACACGGCTGAGTAACAGGAATTGAATGTGTAAATTATGCAGAGTAACCCACTTAACGGTCACGAAGGGGTAAAGGTCAAGTGGAGTGTGTCATGATGATCAAGGTAGACTACGTACTCACCGTGAATAGCATATCGCGATCCGGTACTCTGCTATCCGGTACTACGCGATCCGGAACTCCGCGATTCGGTACTCCGCGATCCGGAACTTTGCGATTCGGTAGGGGGCGATCCACCATGGATTATCTGCTGTGGACCATAGGATGTAAGAGGTGAATGACATAGACAGCCGACCTAGTGAACAGGCATAGTCATAAGTTTTAGGTTTGATCGGTTGACATTTAACAGAATTGAATTTGCAACGAACGACACGCGTAGTCTTCTCCCGAGAAGGATCTTTGAACTTCCGTTGAATAGAGAGTCACCAACGTCTCAAGTGAACTTCGCCCTTGGATTATTTGGCCAGGCGGAAGGCCAATTCTCACCCCCCCACCCCTTAACTGCGATTGGATGCCGTGAACCTTACGGTTCAGATTCAAGATCGCGAGACGGCTTAAGTGGTCAGAAGGTTCGCGTATCAAGCATCACCCCTGGCAAAGGCGACGCTGGGAGAGCGCCCAAGTTACAAGCGATCAAGTGAAGAATTTCCACGCGATTCACACCTACGTTGACCGGGTAAAGTATTTCCACCCGATCAACACCTATCGCTAAGACGGTCAAGTTCAGCTTCAGATCAATTCCACAAGGAAGAGCGCAACCCGCCCCACCGACGGGTACACAAGGTGAGCAAGAACATACACAACACGGAATTGGGGAACCCCTCCGTTGGTCGGTCGTCCGAGCGCCAGTGGAGAGTCGGGATCGTCTCAGATATTGATTTATTGCCATTTTACCACAATGGTGCGCGTGCCCGGATCTTCTAATGACCCGGGATTTCACCGTGAGTCCCTGAGCGAAGTAGTGAATTCCGATGCTGAGACTGGGATGTAAGCGTCAGCGAAAGAGAGATCGTCGCAAACACACGTAGATGAATGATCTCCAGATCGTCAAGCTTTTGGGAGGGGCTTTGATGACGAGAAAAAATAAGAGGAAGATCGATTTCACTGTCCGGAAGATAACCCCCAACTACCTCCTGAAGCCTATTCGGGGGACACCGCAGATAGCACTGAAAAGCGCGAGCCGCAAGATGAAAGTTCTAGGACAATTCCCAAACGGTTTTCCTTAATACTGGAAGAACCATCAGAGATGATGAAGAGAAAAATAAGATGTTCGGAAGACTTAAAGAAGCTGGCAAGGCGAAACAAGATCGAAATGTTTACAAGAACAAGCCATCTAGATGCCAGGTCAAGATGGAGACGATAGATCAAGTCTCAAAGTCAGTGGATCGCGACTTGTAGCTTGAACACTGGCAATTTGACCATCTCAGCAGGGAGTAGCACCTGAATTAGCTGAAGAAGCTGCTGTCGAGCAATTAAGTACTCAAGACCATCAAGCCGAAGCTGACCGGATTGCTACGCGGACCGATGACAGCGCCCGAACCAACCCCCAACGTGTTGGAGGCGCTCCGGCGTCTCATCAATCTGCTAACGGAGGCACGTTTTACGGCGGGAACGTTTAACGCACAAACTTTACCAGAATGCAACCACGATCGAGTGATCGCTGCCAAACAGTCGCTGTTTAAGAGGTTGATTTCGCTTCTAGGCATACGTGACCCCGGAGACGTCCCGACTCCGCCGATCGGCACCTCATCTCAACGGATCGCGCCGGGACTTACGATGGATCAAGTCTCACGCCGATGAACGAATTACCAAATGGGTGAACACACTGGATCGTTTCGATACGCTTCAGCGGAATCGGAAGGGGACTCGAACGATTCATTCGAGATCCAACGGATGTCGCTAGAACCAAAGAACGCGGATCTTTTGCGGAAGACATTTGAACGGAATGCGGCAGAAGCGCAAGCGGGAAAGCCAACGGCAATGCGGTTTATGAACATGGTGAAGTCAGAACAAGTGAATTCTTTTTTTCGAGCACCCATGAAGAAATACGAGCTTGAACAAGCTCACATGAACGCTGGACAATTAATTAATCGCCATCCCGAACCGGAGATCCACATGCCGGACATTGACATAGAGTCGATTGGATCGCGTCCTAGCGGATTCCATGACTATGGTCATGCGTTTCGGGAGCAAGGAGGCAAGAGAATACCGCAGGTGGCGAAGGCAGGAGCGGCAGAGAGTGGCGGATTCAATAACCAAAGCATTCGAATGTATGCCATGGACGAACTAAAAGAATTCTTCGGCCGAGAAAGAAGTGAAGAAAGGGCCAGGAATTGGATCTATCAGGTGTATTTGGCGTTCTAACGCAATCAAGCGCCAGAAGTGATAAGTGCTTAGTGTTCAGCGATCTTCTTACGGGACCGGCGCGTGACTGGTATAAACAGTTTAGCCGCTCAACGAGGACTTCGTGGAAGGCACTCCGGAAAGGCTTCATGGCAAAATACAGAGGGGAGAATAGTGTTTCAGTTGGGAGACTCTATTACCATGCGCGTAAGCGATCGAACGAGACTCCATTGGAGTACTTGTACCGTTTGAACGTGGCCGCGATCCAGGCGAAGATCGCGATACGAAATGGAATGCTCGCCACTCGCACTGGACATTTGAGTCATTACATTGCTGCCCTGGACGATCACGATCTGGCTAAAATGCTAACAATGCTACGTCTTAGAGGTGTAGGTGATCTGGAAGAAACGCTGCAAGAAAATGAGAGCATAGAAGTTTGAGAAGCCCGTGCCTCTATGGGGTCAAACAAATTTTGACAGCGTGTTGCGCCACAGGCGGCCCAAGTTCCAGCTAAATTAGCGCGAGCTGTGAGATCAATCCATGTGGATAACGAGAGTAGTGGGCCGACAGAGACTCTAGCGGATCGGAATCCGACTCAGATCGACGCAGCGGGAATATGGCCACAACTACGGATTGCGCACAGAATCCGGATCGGCACAATCAGTACTTAGCTACCGCTGCTGATCGCGCTCAAAACCCGGGAGATCCACTCATTCGAAGTGAGCAAGCCTATCGCGATCGCCACTACGATCGTTTAAGGCCTTAAACAGTGTGTACGCACTGTGGGTAGAAGAGACATGACGATCGCGGATGTCGGAAAAGACTTACGTGTCAGAAGTATAGACGTAAGGGGCAACCTGCAAACAAATGCTACTAAGTGTGTTCCGTATGCAAGGACGTCCACGAGAAAGGAAAATGCCCGATGGAACAACTTGACAACATAATCCTTCAGTTGTACGTGCCTATCAAACATGTAGGGATGCTGCCGGAACAAGCCGAGAAGATGCTAAATTAGGACGCTCGCCAGGTTAAAATCTGGTACGACCCGAGCGTTCTAGGCTCTGCGTATATGCATTTGTGCAGAGGAAGGGGGTAGACGGAAGCGAGGACAAGCAGGATGATCGGCAAAATGCATGTGATTTTAAACTGTCTGCGTTCCATTTCGAGTGCTAGAAGACATGATGAGTACACCCGATCGCCCACCAAGATGGAACTTATCCTAGCGCCGGGCGAGTCAAGGGGATACTAGAAATACCATACACCAGGAAAATGGTTTAAGCTGGCTAATGTGGTTGGGAAGATTAACAACGAAAAGGCCACAATGCTGTTGGACTCCGGAGCTGAGATCTCGATCGTGGACACCGCCTTTGCTCGTAAGGTAGGATGTGTCGTTGACAAGAATCTGAAACAAGAGTGTGTGGGATAGGTGAAAGCACGTACTTGACCGAAGGACGTACCAAGATCGAGATCACCCTGAGTGGACTGCTGGTATACTATTTTGACGTGTGGATGGGTGAAAAAGTCGGTCAAGAGGCGATCCTGGGTATGGACTTCATGGTACCTGCAGGTATACGTCTGGATTTTGGCTGACGGGACGCTGGTATTGCCAGATGAAGTGAGGGTTCATCTAGCAGGACACAGACCTCTGTACGGATCATCCATGCAGTCGATCGTGACCCCAGAACAGCACTTGGTGCTGCCGGTCGGTAGATCGGCGGAAATAAGGATCGGCAATGTTCAGTCTAACGCCGAACTCTGGGTGAGGCGCGATTCTACGTGGGTACCCACCGAAACCACTGGAATACGTCGGACCAAGTTTTTGCAGCTGACGAACCTCGGCGACAAAGAAAAAATTATTGGCCACGGACCGGCTTTAAGCTGGATTATGGCTGCCGACACGGAACCTCGATACATAGGCTACGTCTCGTTTGGTTCGCGACGGCACAATAAGTTGCAGACACTAGCCATTGAAGCTACGACTGAAAGAGAGGAAGAAGTGCTGACCGCATTTGCGGGACCACTTGTAGATCACCCGACCTACCCTACGCCAAAGACAGTTTTAAGTCGGCCTACGGAGAATGATGTATCAAAGAACAGCCCGATCGTAGACGAGAAAGTTATTTCACGTGTAACCCACTGCCACGTGTCGTTAACACGATCGAGGAGAAGGGCGGAAGCGTTCGAACACCCGGGGGGGCAATGGCAGATGTCGCGACGAAAAAGGACAGGAATTTCGATAGACCGCATGACGGGTCGCAGGACACGACCGACGATCGACAAGCGGATCACCGATCGAAAAGTGTCAGGCCCGTGGTTTGTACGATTCACGAACTTACGACGAACGAAGGAGCAGGGGATCAGTCGAGGGAAGAGGCCGGATCTTCACCAGGTGAGACGATGGACGATGAGCCTGATCCGAGGAATGACCAGATCGCGAGGGAATTGGACATCGCTACCTGTAATCATGTAAGTAAGTAGTTTTATGCTGAGGATGTGAATCATCACATGGCGGTACTGCCCAACATTGCTACGCCCACTGCCGAATTTGCGATTGATAATATTCAGGTAGGCGATCCAGATGTACCGTTGACTGATGACCAAGAACGATTACGACAACTGACCTGGAGAAACAAGCACCTTCTTATTGGTAAAGTAAACGCACTCCCTCCAGTCGCACGAGAAGCGATATGCGATATTGACGTGGAAGGAGCAAACCCGATCGTGCAAAGAGTACGGCCAGTAGCACCCGAGTTTCACGAAAACTTAGCGGATTTGATAAAAGGTTTACTCTCAGCCAAGAGTATTCGACCTTCCACATCACCTTGGGCCTCGTCGATCGTCGTTATCATCAGAAATAATGGCGAGGACAATCGATTGTGCATCGACTATCGACGGGTAAATGAGTTGACAAGTCTGATGGTGTACCCAATGCCACTGATCAATGAACTTTTAAAAGACATGGACAAAGCGATGTGGTACTGCTGACTAGATATGACAAGCGGATTTTTGGTGGTGATAATGAAAGAACGAGCAAGAAGGATTATCGCATTAATAACGCCGTCAGGCTTGTATATATGGCTACGGGTGTCGTATGGGTTTAAAAAAACGGTCCACAGATTTACCAACGCCTGATCGACAATGCATTGTATGGATAGATGAAGATCGGTGCTGATCCGGGCGCCTCCATTACGGAATCGTCCAAACAGATCGACGTGTTCACAGAAGGAGAGCCGGACACCAGTCGGACACAATCCGTGCTAGGCCGAAGATCGTACATCGATGACATACTGATTCCAAAAACATCATGGGCATCTTTGTACGAAAGAGTGGATGGATTGCTACGTGCATGCAATAAGTGGAATTTGTCGATTAGCCTGACCAAGCGTTTTTGGGGACGACACAAGGTGGACCATCTCGGTCATCAAGTATCACTGCTGGACTGGAAAATCCACCCGAAGGATCTCGGATCGCTGGTCAACATTCCGTTTCCTCAAAAACTGCGGTCGATGCAGTCGTTTTTAGGGAGTTTAAATTACTTCAGCCTATGCATTGAAGACTTTCCGATATATGCATCAGTGCTATACGAATTACGCGAAGCCGACTTCCACGAGATTCGACGTATGGATGAGGTAGAATCGTCAACACGGAATGGAAAGAGAGCTGACGACAGGAAGTGTCTTGGTGATCACGATCCAAACCGTAACAGTGGAACAGGGGGCGGCCCAGCGTTTTCCGGTGTTGCTGGGGGCGATCCTACTTGCACAGACAGAAGTCGACGGGAGAAGGCGGTAATTTCGTTCACTATGTTGAAGGATAGGATCACTCAGACTCTAATTTTTTAAAATTTTGATCCGAATCGCCCTCCAGTGATCGTGGTGTATGCTAGAAAATGCGCAGTATCTGCAGCTTTGCTACAGGAACACGAATGAGTATATTCACCTGTAGCGTTCACAAGCAGAATGCTAAAACCTTACGAGATCAACAAAAAAATGGTGGAGAAAGAAGTTTTAGCTCTGCTGCGCATCCTAGATATCGGCTACACTATGTTGGTTGCACGAGAGATCAAGGTACTCACACGTCATTCAACGTTTGGCGTGGCTGGTACAATTTTTGAAGCTTAATGGGAGGCTGGGAGATGGACGGCGTTGCTATCAAATTTGGACGCTGTAGATTAAGAAATTTGAAAAGGGAGAAAATGAGTTACTTGGTACGCTTGCCACCAGCATTATCCCGCGCGAAAGTGCTGACGAGATGTTGATCGCGATCGCCCCGAGGAAAAGCCAAAACATACCATAAATATGCCACCAAAGCGGTGGAGGACGGTGAAAGTATTTTGGTGGTCTGTTCTAATGAATCGGCCCAAAACAAAAGAAAAGACGGGGCGTTTAGTGCAATAGTGTGGAAACTCCCGGAATGGAAGATCGTGAATGTCGCAGCCGAAATCGCAACAGACCTGACAGTGAACGAAGCCGATTTTCGTGGCCTGCTGCTAAGTTTCGATATCCTGGCCGATCAGGCGCGGGGGCGTATCGTCTATTGCGACAATTCTAACTTAGTGATCAGGCGGATGCGCGGAGTAATTGAATGCACGGCGCCCTGATTACAGCTGCTACGTCACAAAGCTATGGAAAAATTCGATCGTTGCCAATCCATGAATTTTTACGCATGAAGAGAGAGTGAAATCAGAGTGCCGATCGACTGGCAAGCGACGCTTTACAACAAGAGAAAGGCACGATGACTGTATCCGATCAAGATCGTCCGAATTAACATTCACCGAACCGTTTGGACGACTTATTGACACCCAAAAGTATCGATCGGGTCGTGAAAATATCTGCCGTTACTAGATCACCTGTAAGGAGACAACGATCCCCTGAAGTATTGCAAGAGAAAGTTTTTCGTAGGATCAGAATCGAGAGGATCAAGCACAGGAAGAAGAGATTTGAAACGCAATCTTGAAGGAATTCGTAATCGGAGACATAACGAAGTTGAGTATCAAAGAAGCAAAGTTATGTGCTCGGACCGCGCTCGATTATGAAGTTAACGAAAGCGGACTACTGTTATTCTGCCCGCGATCGACGGAAGATCCAGATAGCCGCGTGAGATTGATTCGCTTGGTGGTACAGAAACTACTGCAGCAAGATTTTCTGCATCGTTATCATACAAGATTGGAGGGCGGACACCAAGATATCTGCAAAGCATACCAACAAATCCGGTCCAAGCTCCACTGCCGAGGAATCTATCGAAATGTTTAGCTTTCTGTGGGAGGATGTAAAACATACCAACAAATCCGGTCCAAGTTCCACTGGAGAGGAATCTATCGGAATGTTCAGCTTTCTGTGGGAGGATGTGTGGATTGCTTGACGGGAAAAGGTACACCTGTACTGCGCGGAAAATCGTCGGGGAATATCCAAGCCACCGATCCGTTTACGATAATCGCTTTGGATAACATTCCATCGCTGCCGCGATCTTTCAAGGGATACACTGAGTTGTTGCTGTGGGTTGATCTGTTTTTAAAGCACGTAATTGCCAGGGCGAGTTCTTTCAGAAATGCTCAAACGATCGCCGAAAATTACGAAGAGTGTGTGTTTCGAAGATTTGGAGCCAGTGAAGCGATCCGCCATGATCGAGAGTCCGGATTCATGTCCAATTTTTTTCGAGCGTTCAATCGGATCGTGGGGCAGAAACAGCGTGCTACTGTGGCATACCGACCCCAGGCGAATGGAAAAGCAGAAATAATGGTGCAGATCTTGGCGAGGGCGGTAAAAATGTTCGTTACAGATACGGATCAGAAGGATTGGGACGAGTAAGCTGAGAGGTTGACGTTCGCCATCAATACGGCACACGATCGCATACGAGGAGATGCGTCATTCTAATTGGTTCACGGTTGGGACCCACGATCGACGCTGGAAGCGACTTTGTCTTTGGGAAGCACCAAACGACGGGACAAAGATATAAGAAGAGGGCGTTATCATATGCAACGCCATTACCAGAGAGCAAGAGAAGCCGTTGCGATCGTCTACGGATTGCAATCCAAGGTAAGGCCGATCGACATAACGCTGAGGACGGATCACATGAGATCAAAGTTAAATTGCAAAGGTGGCTCTACTTGAATCTAGTGAAACAAGGATACGCCCTAAAGCTGGTACACATGTGGCATGGACCAATACGGGTTAAGAAACTTTGCGAGAGACACGCAGTATGGTTGGAGATCTCGGATGCACCGTATCAATTATTCCCAATGGTACATATAGGCAAGCCTAAGCGGGTTAAACCGTTCCCAAATCGGCCAAAAAAATGTTGAACTTTGAAGAGGCGGATCGCGTAGAGTTTAACAAATACCTGCTGCCGAACATAGCTGGGAACACACATTGGATGAAGATGAATTTGAAGTCGAGAAGATATTGGATGTGCGATCTTGCCGACGGACCCGTTTTGGCAGAGTGCAGCGCCAGTATTTGGGGCAATGGAAGGGATCGGTCGATCCGACTTGAATAGATGAGGTCTACTGGAATCGTGGGGCCTTGCTGCAAGAGTTCAATCGCGATCGAGTCAGAAGAAATGCTTCTAGGTGATGCAATCACACGAAGCAGCGGTAGGTGAATAACCGATGTGTCGAATCGGAAGCTGCCTGCAAGAAGGTTGCAGATGGGAATAAAGGGAGGGGTTGTGTGGCGATCCAGGGAATCAAACCCGATTGTAGTGAGTAATTAGAAACGGCAAGTGAATTGAAGTCAAGATGATCGACAATGAAGAAAAATATGGATATGCATTTACCGATTAAAACGGAATGTCGGATCGCTATGGATTGCTTCGAAAAATATCTACCCGAAAAGCGAGCGATCGACGACCCGGGATGATCTTCGATGCAGGATCGAAACTGGGTTGCGCCAGTGTTCAGCTGTCTCCAATCGCGCCAACGCGGAGATCAGGTTTATGATTTGTTTAAGAATCGCCCGAACCCGGGTACCATGGACGCATCTCGACCGGTGACGGGAGATGCATGAAGAACGGATCCAAGAACAGATCCAAATCGCAGTGTCCGTCGATCATCCTATGAAGGATAAAGCGAAATACTATTTTTCATCGGGGTCCGCATCGCGATCACCGCTGTTTGCGCTGCTGGTAAATCGGCTCCAAGTCCGGATAACGATCGCGCTGCTCGGTCGGCAAATAAATGGCGTGGGTTTCTTCTTACAGAGCCTGTCGATTTCGGGTCTTAAAGTCTCGGTACGCGGATACCAACTCTGCGAACCAGCAAGTCGCCTGAAACGAGACCGGTGTGACTTGTCTATGGTGTTGGTTCCAAGGCTTTTGCTAATACAACGCTAGAACTTGAGCCAAAGTAAGCAGCCGTGGGATCCACTCAGATTTAGGCGGAGCAGCTTTAGACCGAGGCGCGGTGGGTGCTGGGAAGATGTACCCTGCCTGCCGTGTCATGTGCTTGAACAAGGTTTTCAAGTCCATCTCCGACACGGAGATCAGGCTGATACGACAGGCCGACCACAGGTGTACGTGGGGGTGAGACCAGGGTACCCGATCACAATAATCCGGGAAACAGTTCAGAGCGAGGTACCCGGGTCGAAGCTAAACGATCGTATTTCGCGGGCGGAAGCACGACATACTCGGCCTTCTGCGGACTACCGGTCATGCTGGCCAATCTGTCGGAGTCGCTTGATGCTTCGCCAAAGATATCCACCCTTAAATTCGAGTCTTGGCAGGTGGTGCTGATTCACTCGGAAGTGGAGACGATCCGGACTTAGGGAGGGGGAGTCCATTGGAATTGAGGCAGGTACCGATCCGGCAGAAGGTGTAACGTTGCTCGATGATCCACGGCGCCGCAAGAGGAGCTCGATCCAGACAAGGCGGCCAGAACATCTTCTTCAAAAGATTCGAATGACTTTGTATCGGAGAGCGATGGAACGCCAGCCGGAAGCTTCTGAGCCCGTTTAATTCCTGTTTGGGAGGCGGATCGTTTTCTACCCAGGGTGCCTTGGATTATTGGAGTCCGTGCTGATCCTGACGTAGCTGTGAACCCGTCCGAGCGAGTTGATTTGGAGGGTCGCGTAGAGAAGCGTAGTATTTCATTAGATTTGGATTATTTGGCAGATCGCACTGGTCCAGTAGATCGCGGAGACACACTGGATGACTTGGCCTTAGAGGTATCCACCGATTGTGTTCCGGGCTACGTCAGCTTTGCAGTGCGGGGACGCTTGATCAGGAGACCGGAATTCGTAGGCCTGGATCGTTTGCCGATTAATGTGGTAGCGTAGGCAGTGGAAAGTACATTTTAGGGAAGGCGGAATGATCCAGAAGCCAATCAAGCCAGATGAGTCCGGATCGTGTCGCGATCGCAAAAGGCCAAGAGACACTACTGTTCCCAGTTCGATGCTTGATTACGCAGACGATCCACAAGGGCGTCCCGGTCTGCTAGGTCTGATCGCATAATTTGCAGCTCCGCCTCTACGAGCTCTTGGTCGTGGAGGAAGTCTTGATGGATCTTCGACATGTTTTCCAATCCCAGTCTGGTCGTGTCAAGCTTCTTGTCAACTCTGCGGGAGAGTTTTTTGTACTTGGACGCCTTGGCTGTTGCGGCTTGGAGATCGCCGCCCGAATTTTGGTCCACAGCAGCCAGGCGCAAAGTCATCGCTTCTAATTGCTGTTGGGCGGCGGAAGATTCACGAGTGCGCAGATCCTCGACTTGTTTAAACTTCTTTTCGGCTTCTGGGAGAGCCGTCTTAAGTTCTCGGACCACGTAATCTTGACCCAAGATCCGCGCCAGCTCCGTCTGGAACCCGTGCAAACTCTCGATAAAGTCTTGGCGATCCGTCCAGAGGTCGAGATAACGCTGTTGGACATAGGTTGCCAAGCGCGGGGCAATCTCGACGTACGATTGCAACTGCGTTTGCCGTCGGTCGATCTGCAGTTTCTGGTCTCGACATAGCTCCTCCATCAAAGGGTAGTCGGCAGCAACCGCGGCATAAAGATCCAGTTGACCGTAGATCGCTGCAATTCCCGTAGTCAAAGTATCACAATTAAAAAAGGATGCAGCGCTCACCCGAAACGACAGCAACACAACTGGCCTTCTAACGGGTGGACACGGCGGCGGAGCAGAAGGCGTAATCGGTATTGGCCTCCAATGAGGGAGGTGCAGGTGATGCAGGAGCCATGGGCGTTGTAAGTGCACCGTCCATCGACACTGTTATTGAGCTTCGGTGCAGGGGACGATTGTGGAGAAGCGCGAAGGAATAACGACGGTAGTGTGGATCGTGCGATTCGCCTTAAGTACGAAATCAGTTTGATTGGTGGAGCGCGTACGGAGATGGACCCGTTGGCACGGATGAAGGTGTCACACGGCTGAGTGACAGGAATTGAATGTGTAAATTATGCAGAGTAACCCACTTAACGGTCACGAAGGGGTAAAGGTCAAGTGGAGTGTGTCATGATAATCAAGGTAGACTACGTACTCACCGTGAATAGCATATCGCGATCCGGTGCTCCGCGATCCGGTACTACGCGATCCGGAACTCCGCGATTCGGTACTCCGCGATCCGGAACTTTGCGATTCGGTAGGGGGCGATCCACCATGTATTATCTGCTGTGGACCATAGGATGTAAGAGGTGAATGACATAGACAGCCGACCTAGTGAACAGGCATAGTCATAAGTTTTAGGTTTGATCGGTTGACATTTAACAGAATTGAATTTGCAACGAACGACACGCGTAGTCTTCTCCCGAGCAGGATCTTTGAACTTCCGTTGAATAGAGAGTCACCAACGTCTCAAGTGAACCTCGCCCTTGGATTATTTGGCCAGGCGGAAGGCCAATTCTCACCCCCCCACCCCTTAACTGCGATTGGACGCCGTGAACCTTACGGTTCAGATTCAAGATCGCGAGACGGCTTAAGTGGTCAGAAGGTTCGCGCATCAAGCATCACCCCTGGCAAAGGCGACGCTGGGAGAGCGCCCAAGTTACAAGCGATCAAGTGAAGAATTTCCACGCGATCCACACCTACGTTGACCGGGTAAAGTATTTCCACCCGATCAACACCTATCCCTAAGACGGTCAAGTTCAGCTTCAGATCAATTCCACAAGGGAGAGCGCAACCCGCCCCACCGACGGGTACAAAGGTGAGCAAGAATAATAAGAACACGTAATCGGGGTACCCCCTCCGTTGGTCGGTCGTCCGGGTGCCAGTGGAGAGTCGGGTTCGTCTTAGGAAATGAGCGATCACCACTCCACCACAGAATCTTGCCGTCGAAAGACAGAAGATAGCCTTGATACAACAGCAAGGATCTCATCAGTCAATGAGCAAGCCGACGCACACGCGTCGACGTGATACCTTGAAAATAGATATCTCAAGGTACAAGGGAACCGATGTAGACTACTTTAAAAGACGGTTCGTCGAGTTAGACGACGCCATCAGGGCCTGTCACATCGAGTGTGACGAGATGCAAGTCACCTTTGCCCTGTCAAATTTGACAGGACGAGCTAAGAATTGGGCTTAGGGCTTAAGCTTCACGACCCAAACGTGTTTGAGTCGTTGGAAATCTTGAAGTCTCGGCTCAGAGAGATAGTTGAGCCGCCACGAGCCGAGTTCAGAGCACGCTCTGCACTCCTGAGGCTTAATCAAGGTAAGCGTGACGTGCTCGCTTACGCAAAACACCTACGCTACCTTGCGAGTAGCGTCATGGAAAACTCTGTTGATGTCCACACACTCATCAACGTGTTCATCTACGGCCTTGTAGATGGGCCGGTGAAGACATACATGTTCCGAGAGGACTTCCATACGCTGGAAAAGGCGATAGCGTATGCTGAACAAGAAGACTTCAGCCTGAGACAGTCTCAGGCTAACTCGTCAAACTGTAGTTCGACGAGACGACAGGAAATAGGAGATGCCGAACCAATGGACCTCTGTTACATCGAGAGCGAGAACTCTCGCTCTTTGAGTCACAAGCGAACGGAAAGATGCTATCGCTGTCAGAAGATTGGACACTACGCTCATGAGTGTAGTATCCCAAGCACTGCGACACGTCCGAAAACAGGACGTGATGACTACCGTTGGCCAAGGAAAGGTCCAAAACGTGGTTCCGATTATGTCGCTAAGTCGCGACAGCGACTTGGACCCTCAAATATCGGACAGGGTCAGTAGGGGCGGAGCACCCTGCTGATCTAGCAACGTCAAGAGAATTTGCAGGTCTCTTGACGAAGATTGCTCTTAACACACAGTCGCTGTGTGTTACTGCCCCTAGTGATGAGGTGTCCCTCATCACTTTGAAGATCGAAGTGACAAGTGGAATTTCACTTCGCGCCCTATTTGACTGTGGGGCGTCGAACAGTTTCATTCGACGCCAGTCGCTAGAGGATAGTAGACACAACCACGTTACTCGAGAGTTCCCTCCAACGAGGATGACGGTGTGCCATGCTACAGGCGCATCCGTAACAGTGAACAAACGAGTAGTAGAAATCCACTACACTGCTAGAAGGAATGCAGTACGATGATGACTTCATAGTACTGGATGTGGATGACAAATTTGATGTCATCCTCGGTCTGCCATGGCTTAGAAAATACCAGCCATGGATCAGCTGGCAGCATCGATTCGTGCAGATGCCTGCCGTTTGTCCATCAGATGGCCATCTGATGTATGTCTTGGAACATCCACAAGCGTATGGATGTACTACGATTGAGTGCGATGGACTCACTTGTGGTACGGTCGTTAGTACAAATGCAAAAGATCACAGTGTAGAAGGCCACTGCACTGTGGAACCAGCTTCCGGCATCTGTGTAGAGACACAGGCTGCGCCGAAGTTTCACCACTTGAAGAGATCGAGTGGACTAGAACACGGATGCACACCAAGAAGGGTGCATCCAAGAAGAGAGACTAGTGTTGTTCAGGATGAAAAACACGTTGAAGCAAGATCGAATATAAGAGAGTCGATCGTAGAACAAGCCCGATCGACTGAAACAGAGTCGATCGAAGAGGACGTGACCGTGGTAGTACACCCACACTTAGTACACGTAATGAAAGAAAATTCAAGCGTTCCTGAGAGTGATAATTCCCGAGCGAGTTATGTTGAGTGTGTGGATCCCCAACCACCTGCAGATGTGTTTTCCCAGGAAATCATCGAGACAGTGAATGTCTTGGTGAATGACGGATCGAGTATAGGCGCTTATACACTTGTCTGGTTACGCCCCCGAAGTCAGCTTCGGAAGTGGTCAAGTTGCCAACGCTAGAATCTAAAAGATTCTCGCGAGATCTGCGTAGTGACAAGATCAAGCAGATCTGCGTACTCGTCACATAGAACGATTACGTCGCCAATGTTTGGTCAGCACAAGTGTTTACTGAGAACGAACGGGTTCTCAGTAGCTCAACGATGGACGATAGTGTCCTCGATGAGAAGACCCGGATTGAGCGATACACGTCTCAATCTTAGGAGTCTTTGAAGACGAATCCTTTGTATGAGGATTTGGTTGAATTCAGGGATGTTTTCCTGAATCCGTGACATGCAAGCTGCCTAAGGACAAAGGCAATCGGCATGAGATCGAACTGAGACCCGGTTCGAAATACTGTGTCATGAAGCAGTGGCCACCGCCTCGTGAACAGGTCACAGCGATCGACAAATTCTTTGCCGATCGTTCAGCGGCTGGTTATGTGAGGAAATCAACATCCACACACAGCTCTCCGACCTTCTTTGTGCGAAAAGACGTAGGAGGGTGGCGGATAGTGCAAGCGTTCAACAAATTAAACGCTACAACGGTACCGGCTCAAACGCCGATCCCAAGGAAGGACGTCATCATAGATGGTATTTCAAAAAGTACCATAATTTCGTCCGTGGATCTGATGGATAGATTCTATCCGATCATCATGCGTAAACGGGACATCCCGTACACAGCAGTGAGCACCCCTAGCGGTATGATCTATGATTAGCTAGTGATTCCACAGGGGCTAAATAACGCCCCGCACCGTTCAGCAGTTGTGAACCGAATCTGTTGCGATCGGTGCGCGATTTCGCTCCGATTTACTTTGACGATTTCTTCGTCTATAGCCGGGCTATCGATGGAAAGACGGACGCGGAGGTTCATAGAATCCACTTCCGGAAGGTTCTCACACTAATGCGTGAGCACAAGTCGCTCGCGAACCTCAAGAAGTGTATATTTGCAGCGAACGAAATGCCACTTCTTGGCCGCATCGCGGGTGAAAACGGTGTACGCCCTGATCCGAAAAAGATCAAGGCTATTAGCGACTGGACCGTAGCAGTGGACGTCAAGGGACTTCGAAAGTTCCTTGGCTTGGCGGTGTACTTGCATAAGTACTCGCGCAATTACGCCGAGATGACCGTACATCTCTCTCGTTTGTTAAAGAAACGATAGGTGGTCATGGAGTGCTGACTGTCAGCACTCTTTTGAAGGTATCAAGAAAAGCTCGATACAATCTTCAGTGTTGGCGATTGCAGACCAGGACAGACCATCCCATGTGGTCTGTGACGCCAGCGATTTTGCAATTGGCTACGCGTTAATGCAATACGACTCAGACGGCGTGGAGCGCGTCATTTTTATCAATCGCGTCAGCTGGAAGCAGCTGAGCGTAGCTAATGCATGGCAAGGGGTTCCTTGCCATGAAATACGCACTGGCTAAGTTTCGGGTACATCTCTTAGGAGATGAACCCTTCATCGTTTATATTGAACACGTGTCGTTACGCACGGCCGTAAACAGTCCACACCTCTCGCAACGAATGGCGAGGTGGCTGTCTTTCTTCGCGGAGTACAACTTCTTCATCGAGCATAAACCAGGACGACTTAATGTCGTCGCTGATGCTCTTTCGCGTCGGCCCGATTTCGAGCCGACAACTCAACACAACAGTAGTGGCGATCCCACTGTAGCGACGCTAATAGTGAGTGATTCGTCGTCGAATCTGCTCCACGATGTGCGAAAAGCATACGCAGAAGATGAGTCTCTTCTGCGATTGATGGATTACATGCCCAATCCATGCAGTCAAGCTTTGGAAAGCTTGTCGCCTCAATACCGCTCTTCAACCGAACGGTATTCGGTTCGTGATGGACTGCTGTTATATACAGCAGTCAGCGGCGACACACCTCGTGTCGACGTTCCCGATCACGACAATTTGCGACCGCGCATCTTACATGAGTGTCATGATTCTTCATCAAGTGGGCATCGCGATAGAGAAAAGACTAACCTCACGGTAAGTCGTGACTCCTACTGGCCCCGCCAGTACGAGTTTGTGCGCAAATATATTCGCGCTTACGAAGTTTGTCAACGGGTGAAGCCTGGTCCTTCATCCCGCGCACCCTTGCAGCCCCTACCAACTCCACCAGTGTGTTGGTAGTCCGTATCGATGGACTTCGTCGTCGGGATTTCCAGAGACTCTCACAATAATACTGGTATTCTTGTGTCTGTTGATCAATTCAGCAAGATGGTACATCTTGTTGCTGTACCGGCGTCAATCACAGCTCAGGGCTGTTCTCGTGTCTTCATCGATAATATCTTCCGACTTCACGGGTTACCCTGTGAACTTGTGTCTGATAGGGACCCCCGCTTCACGGCGAAGTTCTGGCAATCCGTGTTCCATCCACTTGGAACACGTTTGATGATGTCGACTTCTGACCATCCCGAAACAGATGGTCAGACGGAACGCGTCAACCGCGTCCTTGAAGAGATACTTCGAGGGTACTTCCACTCGTTTACAAGTTAGAGTGAGTTCTTGCCGATGGAGGAATTCGCCGTCAACAACTTGGTGCATGCGTTGTCGACGCATGCACCGTTCTTCGTGGATGGCGTAGGCCATCCACGTTTACCCGCCTTCTTAGCGTTTGACCATAGTTTAAGGGGGGGTGGACTCGCTCGAACAAAACCCGATCTGGTTCTTGCTCATCATGTTAACATTAGGTGATGCGACATGTGTGAGATGGACATCAGGATGGATTAACGTGTCCATGGGTTAGAGGTTAAAATAAGTAGTGCTACACGTAGACCAAGCTTGCTGTAGCTCAAGTGGTTATGTGTGGCAGCCATCACCCAGAGGTCACTGGTGCGATACCCGGCAGCAAAAGTTAAACTTTCGGGTCCTGGTGTTTGGGGCTCACCAGCACTGTCCTGCCAGACAGTGACGTCCCCCATTTTGTGTCCATTTTGTGTGTCAACAGAAAGCTGTGTGCCACATCAGAGATCCTGTTTTAGAAAAGGAACATGGAAGAGGAACATGGGAAAGGATCTGCTGTATTGATGGGACGGTTAGCATGAAGAATGGATCGGAAGGATGAGCAGCAACGGTAGGAACGAGTTGGCACTCAAACATTATTCACTTTTGGTTTTGCTGCTTCGACCAACAGTCATCTTCACTTCAACGCTCTGCTAACTTTAACAGGTTATTAGCCCAAGTAACGACTCCACGCCCAAGGTGGCACAGTCTGACGGCACAAACTATCCGTTATGGGCGTTCAAGATGAAGATGTACCTCATCTCCAAGGGGTTATGGGAAGCGGTTGAAGCCACATCTGGCGTCACCGAGGCGAAGGAGAAGCAGGCGCACGCGGCGATTGTGCTCAACTTGAGCGATACTCAGCTCGTGCAGGTCATTACAACAAGTAGTGCACGCGAAGCATGGGGAGCACTCGCGCGAGTTCATCGGACCCAGGACATGACAAGTCGGCTGTGGCTAAAGGAGAAGTTTGCGACATTCAAGTTTACGGCATCGGACGTGAGCGCCCACATTACGGAGCTGGAGCGGCTCGTGCTGGAAATGAATGGAGCTTCGTGTGGACCAAGTGAAGAAGATACGTGTGCAACGTTGCTACGAAGTCTCCCGGCGCAATACGAGGGTCTGGTGCAGGCTTTTTGCATGAGCGTCACACAATTCAGCTTCAAAGATCTGGTGAGCAAACTGATCGCCGAGGAAGTGCGCCAGAAGGATTCGACGCGCATTGCAAGAAAAGCTTCAACAAAGGAACGGTGGTCCGCGGAAGACAGGGTCAAGTTTTCAGTGCTTTAATTGTGGTAAGCGCGGACACTACGCGCGCGACTGCAGGAAAAAGAAAGATGATAATGGCGAGAGACAAGAAGATCACTCGATGTGGCATTTACAGTCACTCAAGGAAATACGAGCGACTGCTGGATCATGGGCAGCGGCGCAACGGCGCACATGTGCAAGGACAAAGACGCGTTTGTCGACTATACGGCATCACCAACGGCATGCAATGTGAAAAGCGCGAAAAACAGTGCGAGCTTAAAGGTGCTTGGAAAAGGCACGGTGATCTTGCGTGCTTGGAATGGCATATTGTGGATTAATGCCCGGCTGGAAAATACACTACACGTGCAAGATCTCAACAAGAACCTGTTTTCACTGACAGCAGCTACTGCACGCGGGATGACGGTTAAAATTACCAGCGACGGGTGCACTGTTTTAAAGAGCGGGCGAATCGTCGCGACAGGAAAGCGATGTGGTATTCTTATCACTCTAAATGTCGAAGGAAGTCCACAATGCCATATGGTGGAGGATGAAGCTGAACTGTGGAACCGCCGACTTGGACACGTGTCATACTCGACTGTGAACAAGCTGATTCAAGACGGCTGCATTAAAGGAAAAGCTTGGACTCGAATGTCGTCTGTGACATATGTGCAACAGCCAAGCAAGTACGCAAGACTTTCCACAGCACTAAGGCTGATGCAGAAGCGAGGGAGAGTCATCGTATGGACTCAATCATATGCTCGGATGTTCTAGGACCGATAACACCAGCATCAAAATCGAACTATCACTACGTTGCGACGTTCATGATGATGAACAGCCGCTATGAGATGGTATTCCCGCTACGAAAAAAAAGTGAAGTCACGAAAGCATTTAAAAGGTACTGTCACGATATCAAAATCGACTGCGGCTTAGACGTGAAGGCACTACGCAGTGATAACGGCGGTGAGTACCTTAATGACGAGATGACTCGATTCTGCCATCAAGAGATGATAAAGCAAGAGTTCACAGTGCCGTATAATCCGAAGCAGAATGGCATGGCGGAGCGGCTTAATCGCACACTAGGCGAGATGACGCGCTGTATGCTGAGCGAATCCAAGATGGATAAAACATTCTGGTGTGAGGCGATGCTGACCGCTGTGGATATTCTCAACGTTCTTCCACGAGCTTCAAGTCCGAACCTGAGCCCGTTCGAGATGGCGTTCAAGCGCAAACCTCGTATGGATATAATGCGCGTATTTGGAAGTCTTTGCTACGCGCATATTCCCAAACAGAATCGAAACAAGTTGTACCTCTCCGGTGTGCGGTGTATCATACTCGGATACGCCAAACAACACAAAGCGTATCGACTTCTGAATACAGCGACTGGAAAAGTGTTCGTTTCCCGGAGTGTGACTTTTGTGGAAACTGCGGTGGAACAGACACGCAAAGAAGATACGCCTAGTGTAATTGACGTCGTTGGCGATGGCGAAGATATGCAGGATCCAAGGGACCACGCAATAAGCGATGAGGGAACCTGCACGCCGGTACCAGGAAGTCCGATTATGACACCAAATAGTACAGTACCAATGGACAGACCAACCGGAGCAGTAACCACACGACAATCAAGCACACCAGGACGAGACGGCGAACAAGAGTGAAATGTGAGACCAGCACGCAAGAAGCAAGCAATCAAGCGCTACGAGCAAGAGTTTCCCAATCTACGGCGAGGAACCTTCAACCTTGACGACTATGACGCTAGCTACGCGACACAGTACTGTTTGAGCGCCAAAGAGGATGTTGAAAGCGCATCGACATACTCTCAAGTGTTAGAAAGCAAGCACAAGGACGACTGGATACGTGCAATGAAAAGTGAGATTCAAGCTTTGACACAGCACGACACATGGACGCTTCAAGATTTACCCTCGGACAAAAGATCAATAGGGTGCAAGTGGGTATTTCGCATAAAACGCAAACCTAACGGAGAAATCGTGAAGTTCAAGGCACGACTCGTAGCGAAGGGATTCACCCAGCGTCCTGGTGTGGACTATTTTGAGACGTTTTCTCCAGTAGCACGAGAAGAGTCAATCAACGTTGCTATAGCACTTGCGGCGGAGCAAGATTTGATAATGGAGAACGTTGACGTTGACACCGCTTTCCTCTACGGCGAAGTCAAGGAAGAGATCTACATGGATCAGCCGGATGGATTTGTTGACAAGCAACACCGTGACAAGAAGTGTCATGAAGAATGGATCGGAAGGATGAGTAGCAACGGTAGGAACGAGTTGGCACTCAAACATAATTCACTTTTGGTTTTGCTGCTTCGACCAACAGTCATCTTCACTTCAACGCTCTGCTAACTTTAACGCATCACCCATCGACAATGGTGTCGACGTGATGGATGCCGATGTTGTTACGATCGATGTCGATGATGATGACGACGAAGATGCTGGCATATTCAGCATCGCCATTGACCGCCACAGTGAGGACGATGACGCCCTCACTGGTGAAGACAACGTTCTTTCAGCAGTGCGCTCCGTGTGCACTGCTGTTGACAAGGATGAATCAGCAGAGGAATTTCTGCTGACTCGTGAAGGGGTTGTCCGCTTCGTTGAAGACTCTTTTGCAGATGCACTAGACAGACAGAAAAGAAACGCATATAAACATGGAAGATAAAATATTCTTTCATTTGATGAAGGAGACCTAGTTTTACTGTCTACAGTAAATCTACCGAAACAAGCAGTGACAAACGTGGGCAGCAGTAAATTACTGCCCAGTTACATTGGTCCATTTCATGTGTTGCGCCGGATAGGCAACGCATACACGATTTAACTGCCCCGTAAGATGCGCACACATCCTTCGTTTTACGTTGGACGTCTCCGCGCGTACTATCAGTACGAGCCCTTTTCGAGATGCGAAAAACACCTCCGCGGTCGAGAGCCGAGACTATCTTCGAGTGGTCCCGTTTCAACAAGCCAGTCTGGTTGACTAGCGAAGCGACCTGCTCACGCAGTTGAGAGATGTCTCGACGAGCTGCAGACAGCTCGTCACGAAGAGAATGAGTCGAACGTTCGTTCTCAAGTTTCGCGAACGCAAACGCGGCACGATCTTTCGAACGATCGTGCGCTAAGGAATTGTGATTACCCCTTACAAGATTCTCAAGCTCATAACGCCGAGTCTGTTCATTATCCAGGTCATCTTGCAACTGTTCCATTACACGGTTCAGCTCCTGAACATCATGCTGATCCGGCTCGAGGGCCGGATCATGTGTTCTCGCCGCCACCACATCCTTTGGTGGACTCAGGCGGTGGTCAACGCTTTCGTGTGGAGCGTATTTTGAACCACCGCGACGTGAATAACGTCCGGACGAGTTACCTTGTCCGCTGGCGTGGCTAAATACCGGCCTGGGACAGCTGGGAGCCTCGTGCCCAGCTGGTTGATGATGTTCCGGATCTCGTAAAGCAGTACGACGAGACCCACCCGCTGCGTTCGAAGAAGGGACGTCGGAAAACGACCTCCCCGAGCGCGAATACAGGGATTGCAAGGTGTCAATCCCTTCGGCCATCTCGGAAGAGATGCGCGCCCTCCAGTAGGGATAAATAGGGAGGTAGGCCTCACTAGGGGCACGGTTCGAGTTGTCCAGGCAACTTGGACACGAATCATTCCACGAGAGACAGGTTAATCCTGCCTCTCTTGATAGCCGGTGCAACTCGCATTGCACCCCGACTAGGTTGTGCTTTTCAAACCTGATACAACCTGCATCAAGTTTGAAGAGCCAGGCCTCACGGCGAATGCACTCGATGTTATGGATGAGGGCATTCCATCCTTGCACCGAGGCCTTTCCTTCTCGAACACGGCTGCCATTGTTCCACCGATGTTTGAAAAATGCATCGGTGAAGAACTCTTCCTCAGCATGGATAGTTTCCGTGCTGGAATTAGGAGGACAGGTCCTCCTACAGTCGAATAACAGGATTCGATCCCGTTCGGTGGTCATTCCGGTCACTCGATCGCACTCTTTGGATGACGTCATCCAAGGAGACTCCACTTGAGGAGCGTGGCGCAGGACATTTCGGTCCCATGCCTCTTGATTGGTGTCAACATGAGCTCTAACACCAGTGAAACCCCGATCCCTCGAGTTAATTCGCTTGTGGTGATGTATATGTGCATCACCACCATACCCACGCGTCCTATCGTTGGATGGACTCGCGTGAGGCGTGGATTCGTTGGAATAATCGCTCTATCCGAAGATCTCGAACATGATACCGCCACGTTGACCAGAGCCAGTCAACCTGGCTCTTGCATTGTCCGCCCCGGGTGATCCGGAGGCGTGAGGAGTCGCCTTCGAGTCGGATACATCATCCGACTCGCCGGAATAGATGAGCTCTATTTAGACTCATCTGGATACTACTCGCGGTATCCGTTGCAGACGCAGCTATTGTTCCTGTCGCACGTGGTGACTCACCATCTGGACGATTCACAACAACATGCGACGAATCACCTGCTGCTGAGTTGTGAGAGGTACTCTCTTCGGCTGCACGCATGAGTGCAGCTGCCTTTCTTGCTGCTGCAGTAGCAACTCGCTTGGTTATCGAAACCATGCGATGAATCGGCAAATGAGTTGGAATTTGACCAACAAGTGCTCCCCTTCCCAGATTGATCCAACGGTGGTCACCCAGTCCCAATCAGATAAATTTAATGAACGAGTGATTGATGGTTAATGGGGGGGTGATGTAACGAGGGTAGCCCTGTTACACGATATTGACACCAAACGGTGTCAATAGAGAGATTGTCTAGCATGACAATGTTGAAGGAGTATTATCCCGTTTTCGATAATATTCATGTGCTGCTCAAAGATTGGTTGACAAAGACATATCAACCAAGGTTACCACCAATCGCTACTAGACGCGCGCAATGAGTGGTGAGCAGGTTGTCGTCACACGACGACGTAGATTGATATAGTTAGATGAAGACTGAAGTCATATTGATAGCTTGACTATAATTAATACATTTCTCTGCTTACCTTTTCTCAAACAATCTGTTTGAGTAGATTAGCTTCCTCTGCACGTACCAGTGTACTTAAAGTTACGTGGCACCCAAACAAAGGGTGCCCCGTTATATCTATCCTCTCTGGTGGCTGACACCAGGCAGCTTCTATTAACCGAAAATATATTATATGCTTCTTCCAGTGGGATTTTATCCGTGTGTAGAAGACACAGGGTACCAAGTACCCAACTACGTGTAGCCCCTTTACATAGTGCATTCTACCAGTACGTGTGTAAACCTTTTTCCTAAACAGCAATTTTATCAGAGAATAACTATCAGGACAAGTTTTCATCCAACACGAGCGCTTCACGTCGTATCTATGAGCCATGGATATCAGCGGCCCGGAAATTATTTTTTGTAAAAGTACGATCATAAAATGTTGAAGCTTTCTATGTCCAAATATGAAGTAGAAAATGCAATACTAAGGCCTACTGGACGTGCTTTGCGATGGTCATGAAAACTCAGACGGCGGGGGCATTGCGTGAGTATCCGGGAGCGATGTCAAAACTCTGATCATCCGAACAAATAACTGCATCGTTAGACTTGACGTTGATGATATGATTGTGTGTACGGTTCATTCCCATTCTCGAGCGAATAAATCGGGTCTCGCCGAAGCTCGATTAGACGAGTCGCTACTTATACAGCGTGTGATCTTCCCAACACCTATTGCCGTAGAAATGTCATGCATGGCTTCAGACTACATGTGCTAGTGCAGAAAGCTCTACTAAAGCCAATTGTCCTTCGTCTGTACATATTCTGGCAGCGTGGCAAAGGAAATGGCTCTTAGCGTTTAGGTCGCCGTGTTGACAATAATCCGGATTGACAGCGTGACATGCCGCTAGGTCCTGGCATTACCTTGTGAAGTATATATCACCTACTAAATTCGACAGGTCAATCCGATCAACTGCGTGCTACATCGACTCATGTAAGGCATATTTTGCCGTTCTCGTCGGTCAAAAAGTCTATTCTATACTTCCACTGCATAGAAGTGCTTCTGCAAAATTATAGATCGTTCAACGGCAAGAGACCATGTACAATCGGGAGCATCGGATAAGACAGCCCAAATCTTTTTGGATACATGGGGTCGCTTAGAACGATCGCACACCACATCACCTTACTAGATCAGTTAAAGCTCTGTCATGAAAACATTATTCAGCGAGATGGTAGCGCAACGTAGCACATTACCCGACTAGTTTTGTCGGAATGACCGGTGCTGAAGTATTCATAATCCCTTATACGTGCTGCAGCAGCGGACGTTTAATTACTCTGCCTCAATCTCATATGTCTTGCATCAATTTGTTTGTCGACACGCATCGTTCTTTATCAAGTACATGTGTATTCCAGGATAAACGGAACCTATTGTTTCATGGAGTTTTGTGAGCGTTTTCGCCGAAGTGTTTTGCCGTGGCGTCACATCCTCAGAGCCGAGCACATCTCTGTGTTTTATCTGTCGTTTACAGGTGTGTGTATCAGATGGCTTAATCATGATCAAGATACTTGGTAATGGACATTTCCTTTGAAAAATGACCATCAGCCATTTGCCTTGGCCGACAACGACAATCGCTTCTGCGATCGTAGTGGAAAAAGTCGGCACACTCTTGTAGGTCAGCATAATTGTTTCTCCTAGGGAGGGAAAATCGAGGGAAACATACATGACTTGCTTGCATGACTTTTTCCTCCCGTTCACCCCACGACCTTGACTATACAGTAGAGAACGAGTCTTGCGAGCAACCTGTTGTACGCTTGTGTATTGTACGCTTGTATAATGCACAACACGAAGCAACCAGAACACGAGTAAGGATCAAGCTATCAACAAAACTGTTGGTCATGATGCAACTAGAATATGCGCGCTCATCGCTGGATGAGAACACGAGTCGTTGTTTGTCAGAACGATCATGGGTTTTGCTCGAAATTGTACAATTGTACCCTAAAGTCCAAACCTTCCGCAAAGTCTTGATTCAAGTAAGACCAGCAGGACTTACAATATCAGTTTGATGAACACGGATCTATAACCGCGTCAGTCTTTTCAGTCGGTCCGTTTTCCTGAATCGATGCCTCGAACGGCAGGACGAAGGGGTACATGGCAGTTTCGACGAATCACAGGACAACGATATTTTGCGGTGGTACAATGTACCATCCAAATGCAGAAACCCCTCGGAATCCGGGAAAGTCGTCTCGAAAAAGATTCCTTGGCACTCCAAATCTGACACTGAGCTTCGGACTTCTCATTTGATCTAAGCAATGAGGCAGACGTCTGAGATGACACCGTTGGTGCCCGAGAGCACCCGTTTGCGTCGCAGGTTCGCGCTCCGTCCGACCATCACTCACTTCTTGCTGCTCACGATCGTTGGCTTCTCCCTCTTGTTCGTGCTCGTCGTGCACGAGACGTGGCCAATATCAACTGTGACGAACCTCAAAGGCACGATAAAGTTTGACGAGGTTTTCTGCGGACCCGCGAGCCATGAGACGGGGTACCTCAAGCTCCCGAATACAGATAACGACCACTATTTCTATTGGTTCGTGGAATCTCAGACCGCGCCGCAGAAAGACCCTCTGGTCCTCTGGCTTACTGGAGGGCCAGGCTGTTCCAGTCTGATGGCCATATTGGCTGAAAATGGGCCCTGTCGAGTCCAATCAGATCTGTCTACGGTAATCAATCCCTCGGCTTGGAACAATCAAGCCAATGTGATTTGGCTGGACCAACCAACAGGTGTTGGGTTCTCATACGGCTCTGAATAGGACAAGGACTCAAACGAGGTCGACGTGGCTGAAAACATCTGCTGGTTCCTGCAGGCGTTTTTCAAGAAACACCCCGACTTGAATGACCGCGAATTCTTTTTGACTAGTGATAGCTTCGGTGGTCACTATGTGCCTGCAACTACTAGTCACATTTTGAAGGCCAATATGCTTCAGCACTTGCATCCGAACGCTAGTTATATCAACTTAGCAGGGATTGCAATTGGCAACGGACTGACGGACCCAGCAGTGCAATACCAGCACAGTGTCGACATGGCATTTAAATCGTACAACGTGACGCTGCTGCAAGCAGAATCTATTGAAGGTGTGCGTAAAGCTCAGCCAGTGTGCCATAAGCTCAATTTAAAGTGTCAGAGAGGCCATCAAGTAAACGGAGCACCTTTGTTTGGGGTGCCACGTAACTTTAAGTACACTGGTACGTGCAGAGGAAGCTAATCTACTCAAACAGATTGTTTGAGAAAAGGTAAACAGAGAACTGTATTTAATATAGTCAAGCTATCAATATGACTTCAGTCTTCATCTAACTATATCAATCTACGTCGTCGTGTGACGACAACCTGCTCACCACTCATTGCGCGCGTCTAGTAGCGATTGGTGGTAACCTTGGTTGATATGTGTTTGTCAACCAATCTTTGAGCAGCACATGAATATTATCGAAAACGGGATAATACTCCTTCAACATTGTCATGCTAGACAATCTCTCTATTGACACCGTTTGGTGTCAATATCGTGTAACAGGGCTACCCCGTTACATCACCCCCCCCATTAACCATCAATCACTCGTTCATTAAATTTATCTGATTGGGACTGGGTGACCACCGTTGGATCAATCTGGGAAGGGGAGCACTTGTTGGTCAAATTCCAACTCATTTGCCGATTCATCGCATGGTTTCGATAACCAAGCGAGTTGCTACTGCAGCAGCAAGAAAGGCAGCTGCACTCATGCGTGCAGCCGAAGAGAGTACCTCTCACAACTCAGCAGCAGGTGATTCGTCGCATGTTGTTGTGAATCGTCCAGATGGTGAGTCACCACGTGCAACAGGAACAATAGCTGCGTCTGCAACGGATACCGCGAGTAGTATCCAGATGAGTCTAAATAGAGCTCATCTATTCCGGCGAGTCGGATGATGTATCCGACTCGAAGGCGACTCCTCACGCCTCCGGATCACCCGGGGCGGACAATGCAAGAGCCAGGTTGACTGGCTCTGGTCAACGTGGCGGTATCATGTTCGAGATCTTCGGATAGAGCGATTATTCCAACGAATCCACGCCTCACGCGAGTCCATCCAACGATAGGACGCGTGGGTATGGTGGTGATGCACATATACATCACCACAAGCGAATTAACTCGAGGGATCGGGGTTTCACTGGTGTTAGAGCTCATGTTGACACCAATCAAGAGGCATGGGACCGAAATGTCCTGCGCCACGCTCCTCAAGTGGAGTCTCCTTGGATGACGTCATCCAAAGAGTGCGATCGAGTGACCGGAATGACCACCGAACGGGATCGAATCCTGTTATTCGACTGTAGGAGGACCTGTCCTCCTAATTCCAGCACGGAAACTATCCATGCTGAGGAAGAGTTCTTCACCGATGCATTTTTCAAACATCGGTGGAACAATGGCAGCCGTGTTCGAGAAGGAAAGGCCTCGGTGCAAGGATGGAATGCCCTCATCCATAACATCGAGTGCATTCGCCGTGAGGCCTGGCTCTTCAAACTTGATGCAGGTTGTATCAGGTTTGAAAAGCACAACCTAGTCGGGGTGCAATGCGAGTTGCACCGGCTATCAAGAGAGGCAGGATTAACCTGTCTCTCGTGGAATGATTCGTGTCCAAGTTGCCTGGACAACTCGAACCGTGCCCCTAGTGAGGCCTACCTCCCTATTTATCCCTACTGGAGGGCGCGCATCTCTTCCGAGATGGCCGAAGGGATTGACACCTTGCAATCCCTGTATTCGCGCTCGGGGAGGTCGTTTTCCGACGTCCCTTCTTCGAACGCAGCGGGTGGGTCTCGTCGTACTGCTTTACGAGATCCGGAACATCATCAACCAGCTGGGCACGAGGCTCCCAGCTGTCCCAGGCCGGTATTTAGCCACGCCAGCGGACAAGGTAACTCGTCCGGACGTTATTCACGTCGCGGTGGTTCAAAATACGCTCCACACGAAAGCGTTGACCACCGCCTGAGTCCACCAAAGGATGTGGTGGCGGCGAGAACACATGATCCGGCCCTCGAGCCGGATCAGCATGATGTTCAGGAGCTGAACCGTGTAATGGAACAGTTGCAAGATGACCTGGATAATGAACAGACTCGGCGTTATGAGCTTGAGAATCTTGTAAGGGGTAATCACAATTCCTTAGCGCACGATCGTTCGAAAGATCGTGCCGCGTTTGCGTTCGCGAAACTTGAGAACGAACGTTCGACTCATTCTCTTCGTGACGAGCTGTCTGCAGCTCGTCGAGACATCTCTCAACTGCGTGAGCAGGTCGCTTCGCTAGTCAACCAGACTGGCTTGTTGAAACGGGACCACTCGAAGATAGTCTCGGCTCTCGACCGCGGAGGTGTTTTTCGCATCTCGAAACGGGCTCGTACTGATAGTACGCGCGGAGACGTCCAACGTAAAACGAAGGATGTGTGCGCATCTTACGGGGCAGTTAAATCGTGTATGCGTTGCCTATCCGGCGCAACACATGAAATGGACCAATGTAACTGGGCAGTAATTTACTGCTGCCCACGTTTGTCACTGCTTGTTTCGGTAGATTTACTGTAGACAGTAAAACTAGGTCTCCTTCATCAAATGAAAGAATATTTTATCTTCCATGTTTATATGCGTTTCTTTTCTGTCTGTCTAGTGCATCTGCAAAAGAGTCTTCAACGAAGCGGACAACCCCTTCACGAGTCAGCAGAAATTCCTCTGCTGATTCATCCTTGTCAACAGCAGTGCACACGGAGCGCACTGCTGAAAGAACGTTGTCTTCACCAGTGAGGGCGTCATCGTCCTCACTGTGGCGGTCAATGGCGATGCTGAATATGCCAGCATCTTCGTCGTCATCATCATCGACATCGATCGTAACAACATCGGCATCCATCACGTCGACACCATTGTCGATGGGTGATGCGTTAAAGTTAGCAGAGCGTTGAAGTGAAGATGACTGTTGGTCGAAGCAGCAAAACCAAAAGTGAATTATGTTTGAGTGCCAACTCGTTCCTACCGTTGCTACTCATCCTTCCGATCCATTCTTCATGACACTTCTTGTCACGGTGTTGCTTGTCAACAAATCCATCCGGCTGATCCATGTAGATCTCTTCCTTGACTTCGCCGTAGAGGAAAGCGGTGTCAACGTCAACGTTCTCCATTATCAAATCTTGCTCCGCCGCAAGTGCTATAGCAACGTTGATTGACTCTTCTCGTGCTACTGGAGAAAACGTCTCAAAATAGTCCACACCAGGACGCTGGGTGAATCCCTTCGCTACGAGTCGTGCCTTGAACTTCACGATTTCTCCGTTAGGTTTGCGTTTTATGCGAAATACCCACTTGCACCCTATTGATCTTTTGTCCGAGGGTAAATCTTGAAGCGTCCATGTGTCGTGCTGTGTCAAAGCTTGAATCTCACTTTTCATTGCACGTATCCAGTCGTCCTTGTGCTTGCTTTCTAACACTTGAGAGTATGTCGATGCGCTTTCAACATCCTCTTTGGCGCTCAAACAGTACTGTGTCGCGTAGCTAGCGTCATAGTCGTCAAGGTTGAAGGTTCCTCGCCGTAGATTGGGAAACTCTTGCTCGTAGCGCTTGATTGCTTGCTTCTTGCGTGCTGGTCTCACATTTCACTCTTGTTCGCCGTCTCGTCCTGGTGTGCTTGATTGTCGTGTGGTTACTGCTCCGGTTGGTCTGTCCATTGGTACTGTACTATTTGGTGTCATAATCGGACTTCCTGGTACCGGCGTGCAGGTTCCCTCATCGCTTATTGCGTGGTCCCTTGGATCCTGCATATCTTCGCCATCGCCAACGACGTCAATTACACTAGGCGTATCTTCTTTGCGTGTCTGTTCCACCGCAGTTTCCACAAAAGTCACACTCCGGGAAACGAACACTTTTCCAGTCGCTGTATTCAGAAGTCGATACGCTTTGTGTTGTTTGGCGTATCCGAGTATGATACACCGCACACCGGAGAGGTACAACTTGTTTCGATTCTGTTTGGGAATATGCGCGTAGCAAAGACTTCCAAATACGCGCATTATATCCATACGAGGTTTGCGCTTGAACGCCATCTCGAACGGGCTCAGGTTCGGACTTGAAGCTCGTGGAAGAACGTTGAGAATATCCACAGCGGTCAGCATCGCCTCACACCAGAATGTTTTATCCATCTTGGATTCGCTCAGCATACAGCGCGTCATCTCGCCTAGTGTGCGATTAAGCCGCTCCGCCATGCCATTCTGCTTCGGATTATACGGCACTGTGAACTCTTGCTTTATCATCTCTTGATGGCAGAATCGAGTCATCTCGTCATTAAGGTACTCACCGCCGTTATCACTGCGTAGTGCCTTCACGTCTAAGCCGCAGTCGATTTTGATATCGTGACAGTACCTTTTAAATGCTTTCGTGACTTCACTTTTTTTTCGTAGCGGGAATACCATCTCATAGCGGCTGTTCATCATCATGAACGTCGCAACGTAGTGATAGTTCGATTTTGATGCTGGTGTTATCGGTCCTAGAACATCCGAGCATATGATTGAGTCCATACGATGACTCTCCCTCGCTTCTGCATCAGCCTTAGTGCTGTGGAAAGTCTTGCGTACTTGCTTGGCTGTTGCACATATGTCACAGACGACATTCGAGTCCAAGCTTTTCCTTTAATGCAGCCGTCTTGAATCAGCTTGTTCACAGTCGAGTATGACACGTGTCCAAGTCGGCGGTTCCACAGTTCAGCTTCATCCTCCACCATATGGCATTGTGGACTTCCTTCGACATTTAGAGTGATAAGAATACCACATCGCTTTCCTGTCGCGACGATTCGCCCGCTCTTTAAAACAGTGCACCCGTCGCTGGTAATTTTAACCGTCATCCCGCGTGCAGTAGCTGCTGTCAGTGAAAACAGGTTCTTGTTGAGATCTTGCACGTGTAGTGTATTTTCCAGCCGGGCATTAATCCACAATATGCCATTCCAAGCACGCAAGATCACCGTGCCTTTTCCAAGCACCTTTAAGCTCGCACTGTTTTTCGCGCTTTTCACATTGCATGCCGTTGGTGATGCCGTATAGTCGACAAACGCGTCTTTGTCCTTGCACATGTGCGCCGTTGCGCCGCTGCCCATGATCCAGCAGTCGCTCGTATTTCCTTGAGTGACTGTAAATGCCACATCGAGTGATCTTCTTGTCTCTCGCCATTATCATCTTTCTTTTTCCTGCAGTCGCGCGCGTAGTGTCCGCGCTTACCACAATTAAAGCACTGAAAACTTGACCCTGTCTTCCGCGGACCACCGTTCCTTTGTTGAAGCTTTTCTTGCAATGCGCGTCGAATCCTTCTGGCGCACTTCCTCGGCGATCAGTTTGCTCACCAGATCTTTGAAGCTGAATTGTGTGACGCTCATGCAAAAGCCTGCACCAGACCCTCGTATTGCGCCGGGAGACTTCGTAGCAACGTTGCACACGTATCTTCTTCACTTGGTCCACACGAAGCTCCATTCATTTCCAGCACGAGCCGCTCCAGCTCCGTAATGTGGGCGCTCACGTCCGATGCCGTAAACTTGAATGTCGCAAACTTCTCCTTTAGCCACAGCCGACTTGTCATGTCCTGGGTCCGATGAACTCGCGCGAGTGCTCCCCATGCTTCGCGTGCACTACTTGTTGTAATGACCTGCACGAGCTGAGTATCGCTCAAGTTGAGCACAATCGCCGCGTGCGCCTGCTTCTCCTTCGCCTCGGTGACGCCAGATGTGGCTTCAACCGCTTCCCATAACCCCTTGGAGATGAGGTACATCTTCATCTTGAACGCCCATAACGGATAGTTTGTGCCGTCAGACTGTGCCACCTTGGGCGTGGAGTCGTTACTTGGGCTAATAACCTGTTAAAGTTAGCAGAGCGTTGAAGTGAAGATGACTGTTGGTCGAAGCAGCAAAACCAAAAGTGAATAATGTTTGAGTGCCAACTCGTTCCTACCGTTGCTGCTCATCCTTCCGATCCATTCTTCATGCTAACCGTCCCATCAATACAGCAGATCCTTTCCCATGTTCCTCTTCCATGTTCCTTTTCTAAAACAGGATCTCTGATGTGGCACACAGCTTTCTGTTGACACACAAAATGGACACAAAATGGGGGACGTCACTGTCTGGCAGGACAGTGCTGGTGAGCCCCAAACACCAGGACCCGAAAGTTTAACTTTTGCTGCCGGGTATCGCACCAGTGACCTCTGGGTGATGGCTGCCACACATAACCACTTGAGCTACAGCAAGCTTGGTCTACGTGTAGCACTACTTATTTTAACCTCTAACCCATGGACACGTTAATCCATCCTGATGTCCATCTCACACATGTCGCATCACCTAATGTTAACATGATGAGCAAGAACCAGATCGGGTTTTGTTCGAGCGAGTCCACCCCCCTTAAACTATGGTCAAACGCTAAGAAGGCGGGTAAACGTGGATGGCCTACGCCATCCACGAAGAACGGTGCATGCGTCGACAACGCATGCACCAAGTTGTTGACGGCGAATTCCTCCATCGGCAAGAACTCACTCTAACTTGTAAACGAGTGGAAGTACCCTCGAAGTATCTCTTCAAGGACGCGGTTGACGCGTTCCGTCTGACCATCTGTTTCGGGATGGTCAGAAGTCGACATCATCAAACGTGTTCCAAGTGGATGGAACACGGATTGCCAGAACTTCGCCGTGAAGCGGGGGTCCCTATCAGACACAAGTTCACAGGGTAACCCGTGAAGTCGGAAGATATTATCGATGAAGACACGAGAACAGCCCTGAGCTGTGATTGACGCCGGTACAGCAACAAGATGTACCATCTTGCTGAATTGATCAACAGACACAAGAATACCAGTATTATTGTGAGAGTCTCTGGAAATCCCGACGACGAAGTCCATCGATACGGACTACCAACACACTGGTGGAGTTGGTAGGGGCTGCAAGGGTGCGCGGGATGAAGGACCAGGCTTCACCCGTTGACAAACTTCGTAAGCGCGAATATATTTGCGCACAAACTCGTACTGGCGGGGCCAGTAGGAGTCACGACTTACCGTGAGGTTAGTCTTTTCTCTATCGCGATGCCCACTTGATGAAGAATCATGACACTCATGTAAGATGCGCGGTCGCAAATTGTCGTGATCGGGAACTTCGACACGAGGTGTGTCGCCGCTGACTGCTGTATATAACAGCAGTCCATCACGAACCGAATACCGTTCGGTTGAAGAGCGGTATTGAGGCGACAAGCTTTCCAAAGCTTGACTGCATGGATTGGGCATGTAATCCATCAATCGCAGAAGAGACTCATCTTCTGCGTATGCTTTTCGCACATCGTGGAGCAGATTCGACGACGAATCACTCACTATTAGCGTCGCTACAGTGGGATCGCCACTACTGTTGTGTTGAGTTGTCGGCTCGAAATCGGGCCGACGCGAAAGAAGCATCAGCGACGACATTAAGTCGTCCTGGTTTATGCTCGATGAAGAAGTTGTACTCCGCGAAGAAAGACAGCCACCTCGCCATTCGTTGCGAGAGGTGTGGACTGTTTACGGCCGTGCGTAACGACACGTGTTCAATATAAACGATGAAGGGTTCATCTCCTAAGAGATGTACCCGAAACTTAGCCAGTGCGTATTTCATGGCAAGGAACCCCTTGCCATGCATTAGCTACGCTCAGCTGCTTCCAGCTGACGCGATTGATAAAAATGACGCGCTCCACGCCGTCTGAGTCGTATTGCATTAACGCGTAGCCAATTGCAAAATCGCTGGCGTCACAGACCACATGGGATGGTCTGTCCTGGTCTGCAATCGCCAACACTGAAGATTGTATCGAGCTTTTCTTGATACCTTCAAAAGAGTGCTGACAGTCAGCACTCCATGACCACCTATCGTTTCTTTAACAAACGAGAGAGATGTACGGTCATCTCGGCGTAATTGCGCGAGTACTTATGCAAGTACACCGCCAAGCCAAGGAACTTTCGAAGTCCCTTGACGTCCACTGCTACGGTCCAGTCGCTAATAGCCTTGATCTTTTTCGGATCAGGGCGTACACCGTTTTCACCCGCGATGCGGCCAAGAAGTGGCATTTCGTTCGCTGCAAATATACACTTCTTGAGGTTCGCGAGCGACTTGTGCTCACGCATTAGTGTGAGAACCTTCCGGAAGTGGATTCTATGAACCTCCGCGTCCGTCTTTCCATCGATAGCCCGGCTATAGACGAAGAAATCGTCAAAGTAAATCGGAGCGAAATCGCGCACCGATCGCAACAGATTCGGTTCACATCTGCTGAACGGTGCGGGGCGTTATTTAGCCCCTGTGGAATCACTAGCTAATCATAGATCATACCGCTAGGGGTGCTCACTGCTGTGTACGGGATGTCCCGTTTACGCATGATGATCGGATAGAATCTATCCATCAGATCCACGGACGAAATTATGGTACTTTTTGAAATACCATCTATGATGACGTCCTTCCTTAGGATCGGCGTTTGAGCCGGTACCGTTGTAGCGTTTAATTTGTTGAACGCTTGCACTATCCGCCACCCTCCTACGTCTTTTCGCACAAAGAAGGTCGGAGAGCTGTGTGTGGATGTTGATTTCCTCACATAACCAGCCGCTGAACGATCGGCAAAGAATTTGTCGATCGCTGTGACCTGTTCACGAGGCGGTGGCCACTGCTTCATGACACAGTATTTCGAACCGGGTCTCAGTTCGATCTCATGCCGATTGCCTTTGTCCTTAGGCAGCTTGCATGTCACGGATTCAGGAAAACATCCCTGAATTCAACCAAATCCTTATACAAAGGATTCGTCTTCAAAGACTCCTAAGATTGAGACGTGTATCGCTCAATCCGGGTCTTCTCATCGAGGACACTATCGTCCATCGTTGAGCTACTGAGAACCCGTTCGTTCTCAGTAAACACTTGTGCTGACCAAACATTGGCGACGTAATCGTTCTATGTGACGAGTACTCAGATCTGCTTGATCTTGTCACTACGCAGATCTCGCGAGAATCTTTTAGATTCTAGCGTTGGCAACTTGACCACTTCCGAAGCTGACTTCGGGGGCGTAACCAGACAAGTGTATAAGCGCCTATACTCGATCCGTCATTCACCAAGACATTCACTGTCTCGATGATTTCCTGGGAAAACACATCTGCAGGTGGTTGGGGATCCACACACTCAACATAACTCGCTCGGGAATTATCACTCTCAGGAACGCTTGAATTTTCTTTCATTACGTGTACTAAGTGTGGGTGTACTACCACGGTCACGTCCTCTTCGATCGACTCTGTTTCAGTCGATCGGGCTTGTTCTACGATCGACTCTCTTATATTCGATCTTGCTTCAACGTGTTTTTCATCCTGAACAACACTAGTCTCTCTTCTTGGATGCACCCTTCTTGGTGTGCATCCGTGTTCTAGTCCACTCGATCTCTTCAAGTGGTGAAACTTCGGCGCAGCCTGTGTCTCTACACAGATGCCGGAAGCTGGTTCCACAGTGTGGTGGCCTACTACACTGTAATCTTTTGCATTTGTACTAACGACCGTACCACAAGTGAGTCCATCGCACTCAATCGTAGTACATCCATACGCTTGTGGATGTTCCAAGACATACATCAGATGGCCATCTGATGGACAAACGGCAGGCATCTGCACGAATCGATGCTGCCAGCTGATCCATGGCTGGTATTTTCTAAGCCATGGCAGACCGAGGATGACATCAAATTTGTCATCCACATCCAGTACTATGAAGTCATCATCGTACTGCATTCCTTCTAGCAGTGTAGTGGATTTCTACTACTCGTTTGTTCACTGTTACGGATGCGCCTGTAGCATGGCACACCGTCATCCTCGTTGGAGGGAACTCTCGAGTAACGTGGTTGTGTCTACTATCCTCTAGCGACTGGCGTCGAATGAAACTGTTCGACGCCCCACAGTCAAATAGGGCGCGAAGTGAAATTCCACTTGTCACTTCGATCTTCAAAGTGATGAGGGACACCTCATCACTAGGGGCAGTAACACACAGCGACTGTGTGTTAAGAGCAATCTTCGTCAAGAGACCTGCAAATTCTCTTGACGTTGCTAGATCAGCAGGGTGCTCCGCCCCTACTGACCCTGTCCGATATTTGAGGGTCCAAGTCGCTGTCGCGACTTAGCGACATAATCGGAACCACGTCTTGGACCTTTCCTTGGCCAACGGTTGTCATCACGTCCTGTTTTCGGACGTGTCGCAGTGCTTGGGATACTACACTCATGAGCGTAGTGTCCAATCTTCTGACAGCGATAGCATCTTTCCGTTCGCTTGTGACTCAGAGAGCGAGAGTTCTCGCTCTCGATGTAACAGAGGTCCATTGGTTCGACATCTCCTATTTCCTGTCGTCTCGTCGAACTATAGTTTGACGAGTTAGCCTGAGACTGTCTCAGGCTGAAGTCTTCTTGTTCAGCATACGCTATCGCCTTTTCCAGCGTATGGAAGTCCTCTCGGAACATGTATGTCTTCACCGGCCCATCTACAAGGCCGTAGATGAACACGTTGATGAGTGTGTGGACATCAACAGAGTTTTCCATGACGCTACTCGCAAGGTAGCGTAGGTGCTTTGCGTAAGCGTGCACATCATGCTTACCTTGATTGAGCCTCAGGAGTGCAGAGCGTGCTCTGAACTCGGCTCGTGGCGGCTCAACTATCTCTCTGAGCCGAGACTTCAAGATTTCCAACGACTCAAACACGTTTGGGACGTGAAGCTTAAGCCCTAAGCCCAATTCTTAGCTCGTCCTGTCAAATTTGACAGGGCAAAG